CTCTCCCTCTCTCTCTCTCTCTCTCTCTCTCTCTCTCTCTCTCTCTCTCTCTCTCTCTCTCTCTCTCTCTCTCTCTCTCGCTCTCTCTCCCATTTTTCTAGTTTTCTTATCTTTCACCTATAAAGCTTTTTTTCTGAGTTCCATTCCTTGCGAAACATAGCACATGAAAAGCAACAATTTCTTTCTCTTTCTTATCTAGTGACTGATTCTTGTGGTTTGGTAATGAATTACTTGTTTCGCATTTGTCTCTTCATGCACTCACCTCCAATATGATAGACTTCTTCAAACTGAAGTTCACATGAACTGATTATAGTTCTTTGTAAATATAATAACATATTTTTTTTAATTCCAGAACATCGGGTCGAATTCGAATCGGCGACCGCATACAGGCCGTTGCCGTACGTGATGTGCCGCAGTCCGTTCGACACCAGGCCAGGAATAGAATTAGTAGAGAGAATTCAGAGGAGTCTGAGAATCCAAAAAATCAGGAGGGCTGTCAAACCTCATCATTTATTCAACAATCTAACGTTGAATTGAACGAACAGCTTTCAAAGGAATCCGAGCCATCTGTAGAAAATAAAAAAGAAGACAAGGACTTCGACGACAACGACAACGACAACGACAACGACGGCAAAAGAGAGGACCAATCAAAAGAAGCCGCACTCAATCATAATATTGATACACTAACTGATATTCATATAGCTCGTCAACCGGACAGATTTCTGTTTGAAAAATTTTGTGATCAAAGCAACCCTGTTGTCATCGCAAGTATCCGGGAACATACAAATATGGTGGTTAGTTGGTTTATTTCAATATATTCATCTTGTTCGAGTACATAGAACTTTCTGAAGAAACAGAGAAAAGACAAGCTTCATCTATCTTTTCCAATTACCTAAGTTTCTTCTTTTGTTTTAATTGTATAAACAAGTCTGCCTCCAAACGAATGTTCAAAACTTAAAAAGGAACATTTCTAAGTCGAAATGGAAAAATTCGAGAATATTTTCGTTTCACAGGTGACACGAGAATATTCTCAGATTACTCCTTCTTTCATCTTTTTTCTCTGATTCCTTCATCATTTCTTTCTATTCTATCTTTTTCTTTATCTCATTCTACTTTATATAT